AAGACTGACTAACTCAACAGAATTTAATTAATATTTAACGATATATTAATTAAGCACGAAGGAGGGGGAAATTATCAGGGGAAGGCGCCAAGTCCTTGCGACTATGTAGCACTGGGAAGGGTCAGGATAAGGATTTGGGATGGGACCGAGGGGAAGGAATGATGCCCAACTACTTGAACGGTCGGGGATTGAACGCCGACTTGCAAACAGTGAGACCGTCGCGCTACCGTGCAGCCCAAGTGGTTGGGCTAAGCACGAAAGAACTCATTTTATTGGAGGCTGTTGTATGTAGTTCAAATATTTCAGAAGGCGGGCCAGTGCTTCAGTACAGTGAGTGAGTGAATAAGTGAGTGAGTGAGCGAGTGAGTGAGTGAGTGAGTGAGGGACTGAGTGAGTGATGGAGTGAGTGAGTGAAGGAGTGAGTGAGTGAATGAATGAGTGAGTGAGTGAGGGACTGAGTGAGTGATGGAGTGAGTGAGTGAAGGAGTGAGTGAGTGAATGAATGAGTGAGTGAGAGAGGGGGGAATGAGTGAGTGAGTGAGGGAGGGAGGGAGGGAGGGAGGGAATGAATGAATGAGGGAGGGAATGAGTGAGTGAGTGATACTCATAGGCTCTTAACACCCAACATTATTTTACGTTACAAATTTTTTTTTTATCTTTATTTGTGTTTCATTTGCCTCTAAAGTTTATTTACATCTCATATTTATTAGTTTACGTCTGATACATTAAATCTTTTACACTGCTCAACTAAATTAAATTTTTGTTTCTCATCATCCTGGGTAGTGTTATTTTCTGATTGTCTACGCCTCCAGGGTATAGAAAATGTCTTATTTTTTTAGACTTTTCTATTTGACCTTCAAACTTTACTGTGACCTTTGTCTAAGACTTAGAAAAACGTCTTGAAGGCACCTGTAGACTGCCGACTTATGAAACACTGTGTTACAGCTCCACAAGAGGAGTCTGCAGGCTTCAGGTACCTATAAGATATATTCCCTAAGCTAAATTATAGAAAAAAATCCATTTTCAACGTTTTAGAGGCAATAATCAATGGGAAACTAACCCAGGAACAAAAGTTGTGTTAAAATGTGTTTGTTAGTTCATTGTTTCTTAAGCAATGTAGTTCCTGCTACAAGTCTTAAGAATTTGGTTAGGTGTTGGGGCTTAAGGTCCCACAGTGCTTTGCCGGGTTATTAAGGCCACCACTAAGGTTTAATGACCACCGAACATGTATCCTTTGTCCTGATAAAGTCCAATTTAGTCCAGAAAAGTAAACTCCTAATGTATATACACTATAGAACGAGAGACACACCTCTTATTTTGTGTGTGTGTGCGAGTGTGTGTGTGTGTGTGTGTGTATGTGTGTGTGTGTGTGTGTGTGTGATATATATATATATATATATATATATATATATATATATATATATATATATATATATATATATATATATATATATATATATACACTAAACTGTTAGTATATTGACATTTTTTTGTTGTCGAGTGGTTAAGGTCTCCTGTACACTAGTTGCATAGTGCTCCTGGCAGTATGGGTTCGAGTCACTTCTAGGGTGTGCAGTTTTCAGTTGCATATATGCCTGGGGACCATTCAGGCTTGTTCGCATTTGTGTTGCTCACGAGGTCCGAAAAAATGAGGTGATTTGATAAAATAACTATCCCCAAGATTACCATCAAAGTGTCGTCTGGATGATGCGAAAATAGACTTGGCTACAATCATCTTTTGTACGGTCGTGATGGTTGAGTGGTTAAGGTCTCCAATACACCAGTTGCATAGTGCTCCTGGCAGTATGGGTTCGAGTCACTTCTGGGGTGCAGAGTTTTCAGTTTCATATATACGTGGGAACCATTCAGGCTTGTTCGCGCATATATATATATATATATATATATATATATATATATATATATATATATATATATATATATATATATATATATATATATATATATATATATATATATATTAAATATGACCGAAAAAGTAAGATTAATAATTCTAACACGAATTTTCTCAATCTTTCGTACATTTCTTTTCACTATTGGAGGTAAATCAAAAATCAATTCTCCAAAATTCATTTTTATTTCTAGTCTGACGCGACACGAGCGCGTTTCGTAAAACTTATTACATTTTCAAAGACTTTAGTTTACAAATACACAACTGAATAGAACTTACGCATCTCCGACTTTGTTTATATCTGCATTTGAGAGAGGTGGATGGGGTGAGGTGGCATTAATAGGGTATTAATTTCATCAACACAAGACAGAACAAGAGGTGGCATTAATAGGGTATTAATTTCATCAACACAAGACAGAACACGAAACAATGGGTATTGAATAGAAGTGATTGTAGAAAGCCTATTGGTCCATATTTCTTGATGCTTCTATATTGGAGCGGAGTCTTGAGGTGGGTAGAATATAGTTGTGCATTAATTGGCTGTTGATTGCTGGTGTTGACTTCTTGATGTGTAGTGCCTCGCAAACGTCAAGCCGCCTGCTATCGCTGTATCTATCGATGATTTCTGTGTTGTTTACTAGGATTTCTCTGGCGATGGTTTGGTTGTGGGAAGAGATTATATGTTCCTTAATGGAGCCCTGTTGCTTATGCATCGTTAAGCGCCTAGAAAGAGATGTTGTTGTCTTGCCTATATACTGGGTTTTTTGGAGCTTTTTGGGGGGGGGACTGTAAGCTCTTGGGGACTGTAAAAAAACCCAGTATATAGGCAAGACAACAACATCTCTTTCTAGGCGTTTAACGATGCATAAGCAACAGGGCTCCATTAAGGAACATATAATCTCTTCCCACAACCAAACCATCGCCAGAGAAATCCTAGTAAACAACACAGAAATCATCGATAGATACAGCGATAGCAGGCGGCTTGACGTTTGCGAGGCACTACACATCAAGAAGTCAACACCAGCAATCAACAGCCAATTAATGCACAACTATATTCTACCCACCTCAAGACTCCGCTCCAATATAGAAGCATCAAGAAATATGGACCAATAGGCTTTCTACAATCACTTCTATTCAATACCCATTGTTTCGTGTTCTGTCTTGTGTTGATGAAATTAATACCCTATTAATGCCACCTCTTGTTCTGTCTTGTGTTGATGAAATTAATACCCTATTAATGCCACCTCACCCCATCCACCTCTCTCAAATGCAGATATAAACAAAGTCGGAGATGCGTAAGTTCTATTCAGTTGTGTATTTGTAAACTAAAGTCTTTGAAAATGTAATAAGTTTTACGAAACGCGCTCGTGTCGCGTCAGACTAGAAATAAAAATGAATTTTGGAGAATTGATTTTTGATTTACCTCCAACAGTGAAAAGAAATGTACGAAAGATTGAGAAAATTCGTGTTAGAATTATTAATCTTACTTTTTCGGTCATATTTAATAATATATGTCTACAGGAAAGACTGCTACCAAAATATACTAATATATATATATATATATATATATATATATATATATATATATATATATATATATATATATATATATATATATATATATATATATATATATATATATATATATGTCGTACCTAGTAGCCAGAACTCACTTCTCAGCCTACTATTCAAGGCCCGATTTGCCTAATAAGCCAAGTTTTCCTGAATTAATATATTTACTATAATTTTTTTCTTATGAAATGATAAAGCAACCCTTTTCTCTATGTATGAGGTCAATTTTTTTATTAGAGTTAAAATTAACGTAGATATATGACCGAACCTAACCAACCCTACCTAACCTAACCTAATCTATATTTATAGGTAAGGTTAGGTTAGGTAGCCAAAAAAAGCTAGGTTAGGTTAGGTTAGGTAGGTTAGGTAGACGAAAAAACATTAATTCATGAAAACTTGGCTTATTAGGCAAATCGGGCCTTGAATAGTAGGCTGAGAAGTGCGTTCTGGCTATTAGGTACGACATATATATATATATATATATATATATATATATATATATATATATATATATATATATATATATATATATATATATATATATATATAGGTACCTAACAAATATGTACCTAATAAGATAGGTATTCACCTAATTCACCTAGGTACCTATTTGCTGCTAGGTGAACAGAGTCATTAGGGGGTGAAAGGAACTATGCCCATTTGTTCTGTCTCTGCCTGGGATTGAACCCGGGCCCTTAGGACTACGACGCCAGAGCGCTGTCCATTCAGCCGCAAGGCCTCTAATCCATGTACTCACCTAATTGTGCTTGCGGGGGTTGAGCTCTGGCTCTTTGGTCCCGCCTCTCAACTGTCAATCAACTGATGTACAGATTCCTGAGCCTACTGTTCTCTATCATATCTACATTAGAAACTGTGTATGGGGTCAGCCTTCACCACATCACTGCCTAATTCATTCCACCTTTTAACTATTCTGACACTGAAAAAGTTCTTTCTAACGTCCCTGTGGCTCATTTGGGCAGTCAGTTACCACCTGTATCCCCTTGTTCGCGTACCACCTGTGTTAAACAGTTTATCTTTATCTACCCTGTCAATTCCTCTGAGAATTTTGTAGGTGGTGATCATGTCTCCCCTTACTCTTCTGTTTTCCAGCGACGTGAGGTGCATTTCACGCAGCCTTTCCTCGTAACTCATCCCTCTTAGTTCTGGGACTAACCTAGTGGCATACCTCTGAACTTTTCAAGCTACGCCTTGTGCTTGACAAGGTACGGGCTCCATGCTGAGGCCGCATACTCCAGGATTGGTCTTACATATGTGCGTCTTCATGTGTGCGTGCATGTGCACCATCACGTGCGTACATGTGCGCCTGTATGTATTAGCTTATGCTTATTTCAGTGTGTGCGAAGCGCATGTGTATGATGAGTTATATAAATTATACAAACTAATTTCAATGACAACCAAAGTAATTTTATTTGTTACTGATAATCATATTGTATTATTATGAAGCAAATGCCGCTGAAATACATCATTTTTAATACCAGCTATGTTATCTTTTTTCCAGGTCGCTTCACCGTATTGTGTGCTCTGGAAACAAGGTACGGTGACTACTTTGTTTCTCTGTTGTTAAGTTATGCGTTACTGTTTACCGCCACCGTTATGAAGTTAGGGTCTGTTTTGTCTGAATGGGTGTACCTGTCTGGCAGGAAGCAGAGCTGAGGTGTGAGAGCAACTGCAATACTTAGGTACCCTTTGTGTCTCATGAGGAGAGATTAGATTCCTGGTAGGTCATTGTTAGCAGGCTAGCCTGCCCTCCTAAGGTTTCCCAAGAACAAGAAAACGATTAATTTAAAAAACGTGTCCCCACCTAACCTACTAGAGGACCCAAAACAGAAAACGGGACAGTACATCACTTTCGCCAACCGCTTCCATTCTTCTAGTGCGACAATTTTTGGCCATAGGTAACATAGGAGCGAAAAGCGACGTTCTTTGTAAGAGGACAGGTTCCAGCAGGATCAAAAACTTGTGTTGGAATTAAAATAATGACGTCACAGTGACTTCACCTACCTCGTGCATATGTTTAAAATACTAAATTTTATCTCTTAGTTTTATGAGGTTAATAGGATAGGTTAGGTTAAGGTAGGTTTGAGTTGGGTTAGGGTTACTTAAAGACTTGCTATGACGTAGACAGGTGAAACTTTTCTCAGGCTTTAGATTTTAGACAGATTAGTTGGAATTCACGCGAGACATTAGAATGCTCAACACAGCACTTATTTGCTCTGTGAATCAATATAATGTCCCTCAACTCACACTATAGTCATTGCAAGCATAGTTAAGCACTTGAAATGCCTCGAATCCCTGCAGGTGACGCAACGCGAGACATTCTCGAGGCTGTAGGATAGCGAGAGTAATCAGTATGAGAATAACTGTGCTGAAACTGACCACCATAAGTGAGATATTAGAGTCCCCCTTTAATATAGTCTTCAGCGTGAAGAGGCTTCAACAACCACGTCAAATGTTAAGCTGAACTGTCTCATAGATTAAGCTCGCTCGAGGCCATATAATAGACGAACACTGAACGTCCGCTGATGATCTTACTGACCTCACAAGTACACAAAGATCTGAAAGCGCTACAGCATTAAACATTGTGATGAATGCCGCAAGGAAGCGTTTATATATGGAACTAATAAAGCAGAAACTCTTCAGTGCCATGATTTATTAGTTAGGATACGCCTGGGATTCCAGCGTGTTTGGCAACTCTCCTAAAACTGGAACGTTAAATACATTTAGTGTTAACTTTGGGAGAGAAGAAGACAGGAAGAGAAAGCACGATCGTTGTATTTTAAAATGTATTTTTCTTAGTTATTTTTTTTTACTCCTTTGCTTAAGATACGATGAACTGTGGTTGTGCGACAGAAAATGAGTTTGCAAAAGAAATTGTTATAATGCTTATCAGCATGTATGTAATTTTGTATCTTCCATAAACATGGTTAGAAAGCTGTTGAAATATATATAATCGGTTATTGAGCACTCAGCCATAAACGGTGATTAAAGTGAGTTTACAACACCAGGTTGTAATCACATACATTACGTAAGTGTTGCATTACGAAGTACATTTTGGCTACAGGTCAAGTATTACAGTATTCAGCGTATCTTAGACAGAGGTTATGTCTATGATGGTTAGTATTGTGGATGAAGGACCACGTCTGTGGTAAATATTAACGTTACTCATTTGTCACTCAGTGTGTGACAGCTTCGTCATTCCCCTGTCACTCAGGTTGTGATCATTCTCTCTACAGGCGAAATAAATTTGTACTCGTGTCAATTGATGCTAAATAATTGTTAATCTATGTCTATAAATTATTCAAATTAAAATAACTTTTGACAGCATTCGTCGAATTTGTGCAATGTGAAAGGGAGGAAATGTAGACGTTGTCGAATGAGAACATGGGTAAGTCAACATTGTAAAATGAGAGCGAGACACAGAGGAATGAGAGCTATGGTGAGATAGGGTCGTATGAAACCACTGCTAGACAAGGAGGCTCAAAATGAGAAAGTGCTGTCAGGTATGGCTTATTCAGAGCGCTTTGTCAGTCATAGTCCAATGATAACCTTTTGTTAAACATGAACGAATGGGGCTTTATCAGCCATATGGTCCAATGAAACAGTTCTCTGTCAGAGATTTATGGATGAGAACTTTCTGCCGTACACTTTATTTATTTATTTATTTATTTCTGTCGTATTTAATTGTAAATTTCATGGAAGAGTCAAAATATTTAATTTTGGTTTCCTGTAGACATTAATCACTAAAGATTAAAGAATGCGTCGCCTCTTAACATTGATTAATACATTGATGATTAAATTGAGTACTTTTACTGAACTACTTACGAATATTTTTAAACCTTACCAAACTATATTGAATGAAATCAATGAAATGGATGTACACAGAGGAGTATGTCGCTTAATTAATCACGGATATATACACCGAGAAATGTACCCAATTTGTTGGTATATATATATATATATATATATATATATATATATATATATATATATATATATATATATATATATATATATATATATATATATATATATATATACACACTAAGAGTTTAATTCAGTCGTAGACTATGTACAGGACATAAGTGTACTTCCTGCTTGATCAGTAAGCTATTATGGCGGTCTTAATAACCCTCCCGCGGTTAATAGGCCTTAATTAAACCTAACATTAAACCAGCTACAATTATATCCTTTATTTAATTACCTGAAATCCTCATGCAATTAATTAAATCTCCTACGAATACGCTAATTTTCTCAACTTCAGACAAAGCCATACATATATATATATATATATATATATATATATATATATATATATATATATATATATATATATATATATATATTGTGACAATAATCTCCTTCAAGAGATTGAGCCTGCTCTTCCCTCCACAAACACGTCGTTGAAATTATATAAAACGACTATGGAAGACATGTCCAACAACAACAACAACACCAGCAAGGCTTGCCAGGGTGAGCAAAACATATGCAGCCAGCCACCTGTTCGGACTTAAACCACCAAACTACATGTTGATCGCTACCGGCTCCGCTGATTGGTCGCCGGTCTGGCTGCACCTGCACTCGCCCCCCATACTACTTGATGTCTGGGGTCGCCCCAACCTCCTACCTCAGAATGTTCAGTGCTCTCGTTGTTACCACTCCTCCCGGCTAGACGCTAGCGTGTACTGAGGGAAGTGGTAGCTTAAGCCAATATTCCAGCACCTCCCATTTACTTGTATATTGCACTTCTTGTTATTTTGTCTTAACGTAACTTTTCATTGTGTCATTTAAGTATTCTTATTATTTTGATTGATTTTATTATAAGAATTTGTTTGTGCATTTTATTCATGTTTTGATTTAATTAACGTAATTAAAATTTCATTGTTAAAGTTTACTTGTGTTTTGTGTGTCTTCTCCTTACCTTACCACAGACGAAGTTCCAGTTTTTTCTATTTTTTTTATAACTATGTGACGAGGCCATACCCCTAGCCTTAAACAGCCGAACACCAACGCGTTACCGTCACAATATATATATATATATATATATATATATATATATATATATATATATATATATATATATATATATATATATATTCTGGTTTAGGGCTTCTATCCCTCTAACTATTTTCTTAGCATCAGGGCTTAATTGGAATAGGAGTTCTCCAAAACTCATTTTCGTACTTTTAAGGTGAAGAAAAGAAGTGATTTACTATAGAGTGTATTACACTTATTTGTATAATTTGCACGACGTTTCGAACCTCCATGGTTCATTCTCAAGTGAACAATCTTACAATACTAGTTGATTTTATACCCGCATTAGGTCAGGTGATAATACAATGAAGGTAAAAAACATGGGGGGATACATAAGGGATAAACATAGGGGCTGCAGAAGGCTTATTGGCCCATACGAGGCATCTCCTATCCAAACAAAGATTAATCCAGTGTAATTGGCCTGTTATGTTGGACATTGTCCTCTGTGTTGGCATCGATATGTTCTTGTCTTGTCCTTACTCTCATGGTGGGTAGAGTAAATAGTTCCGTGATTTGGGTGTTCATGGTAGGTCGCTCTATTCTTATGTGAATTGCCTCAAGAATTTGTAATCTTCTTGAATCTTGGGTTTTATCTATTATGCAAGTATTCTTGTTCAACATTTCTCTTGTTAGAGTAATGTCATGGGCTTGTCTCATGTGATTCCTAGGGGCAAATTATACAAATAAGTGTAATACACTCTATAGTAAATCACTTCTTTTCTTCACCTTAAAAGTACGAAAATGAGTTTTGGAGAACTCCTATTCCAATTAAGCCCTGATGCTAAGAAAATAGTTAGAGGGATAGAAGCCCTAAACCAGAAAATAATAAATACAGAATATGCGGTCATATTCAATGAAACATGTTTGAAAGAAAACCTGCTGCCAGTATACACCAATATATATATATATATATATATATATATATATATATATATATATATATATATATATATATATATATATATATATATATATATATATGTCGTACCTAATAGCCAGAACGCACTTATCGGCCTACTATGCAAGGCCCGATTTGCCTAATAAGCCAAGTTTTCCTGAATTAATATATTTTCTCTAATTTTTTTCTTATGAAATGATAAAGCTACTCATTTCATTATGTATGAGGTCATTTTTTTTTATTGGAGTTTAAATTAACGTAGATATATGACCAAACCTAACCAACCCTACCTAACCTAACCTAACCTATCTTTATAGGTTAGGTTAGGTGGCGGAAAAAGTTAGGTTAGGTTAGGTTAGGTAGTCGAAAAACAATTAATTCATGAAAACTTGGCTTATTAGGCAAATTGGGCCTTGCATAGTAGGCTGAGAAGTGAGTTCTGGCTACTAGGTACGACATATATATATATATATATATATATATATATATATATATATATATATATATATATATATATATATATATATCTATAAAACTATGAAATTAGAATGTGTGTATGTTCGAGGTTGGGAACCAGACGCTGGGTGCTAGCCTCACCCAACT